ACTGTAGGACACACTGTAGTACACTGTAGGACACACTTTAGTACACTGTAGGACACACTGTAGTACACTGTAGGACACACTGAAGGATACTGTAGGACACACTGTTTCTTTTACTGAACTCACAGAAAACACTTTGGTTCAGTAGTCACTGTTGTAAAGTGCTACAGAAATAAAATTTGATTGATTGATTGATTGATTGATTGATTGATTGATTGATTGATTGATTGGTCTGGAGGGTCCAGGGTTGGTCTGGTCTCTGGTCTGGAGGGTCCAGGGTTGGTCTGGTCTCTGGTCTGGAGGGTCCAGGGTTCGTCCACTAACAGACTTCTGCTAAAGATTTATTCATTTATTTTGTCTCATAAACAAGAGAAAGTTTAAACAGCTGCTCTCAACCAGGGGGCGTGCCTTATCAGGGGGCGTGTCTTATCAGGGGGCGTGTCTTATCAGGGGGCGTGTTTTATCAGGGGGCGTGTCACGTCTATCTTTATTTTTCTGGTCATGAAAACGGTCCAGGTGGAGCTCAGGCTGTTTGTCTTACTGACAACATTTTGAATTTGAGGGTGACAGGAGGTAGGAGAGTTGTCCTGTAATTGGAGGGTTGCCGGTTTGAAACCCTGCTCTGTCCTTCTCAGTCATTGTGTTCTTGGACAAGACACCTCACCCACCTTGCTTGCTGGTGGTGGTCCGAGGGGCCGATACCTCTGTCAGTTCAGACCTGACTCAGAACGCAGACTGAGCTGCTCTCTGTCCTGATGTACACATGATGCTACACGTTAGCATACGTGTTAGCATACATGTTAGCACACATGTTAACATACATGATGCTACACATGTTAGCACATATGTTAGCATATATGTTAACATACATATACCACATGTTGGCACACGTTAGCACACATGTTAGCACACATGTTAGCACATATGTTAGCATACATGATATTACATGTTAGCATATATGTTAACATACATATACCACATGTTAGCACACATGTTAGCACATATGTTAGCATACATGATATCACATGTTAGCATACGTGTTAACATACATGATGCTACACATGTGCTGATGCTACACATGTTAGCACATGTGTTACCACACATGTTAGCACACATGTTAGCATGAAGGTTAGCTCTGAAGATGTCCAATCAGAAATGACCAACTGATTGTTCACATTTGATCTCCTCCTGGATCTGAACAGAGTCTGAGTGGTTCAGTTCTGTCCTCCTGCAGCAGCCGGAGAGTTTTCGGCTCATAGAAGCCGACGCTCAGAGGAGCCCTGTGGGCCACATTGTGTGTTTGGCTCTCGGCCCGAACACCAGAACTTTCTGCACGATATTTAAAGTGGAAAACGACTGCCGGCGCCACATCTGTCATCTGAAAATAAACTGAGCTAAAGTCTCTCTTCCACACTTTCTGCTTCTAAACTTTCAGACTCTTTGCTTCTAAACAGATGATGATGATGATGATGGTGATGATGATGGTGATGATGATGGTGATGATGATGGTGATGATGATGATCCTCTCTGTGAAATCAGATCCATTATTAGCAGCGGTGGGCGCTGGCGGCCCGGCTGCCCGCTGACGCACAGCCTCAGGAATGAGGCTCTTCTATCAAAGGCGACGCTCTCTGCTCCACATTAATCACAGATGTGGCGCTGCGCTCGCCAACATCACCATTTCCTCTTCCTCACACACACACACACACACACACACACGCACACACACAAGCTCAGCCCGCCGTGCTGAAAACAACTGACGCCTCTGAAAGCTTTGCAGCAAACAGGAAGTGATGTTTCATTACACTTTTCTGAACTTTTAATCCAGGTTTCTGAGCGTCAGTGTCTTACCTGCAGCAGATGACGGTGTGTAACGTCAGTTTTCGTCTTTTAAATGGACTCAAACTTTGATTTTGTTCTCGTTCCTTCAGGTCTGGTTTCAGAACAGGAGAGCCAAGTTTCGCAGGAATGAACGAGCCATGCTGGCCAGCAAGAACGCCTCGCTGCTCAAGTCCTACTCAGGAGAGATGACGGCGGTGGAGCAGCCCATCGTGCCCCGCCCCGCGCCCCGCCCCAACGACTACCTGTCCTGGGGCAGCGCTGCCCCCTACAGGTGATTACCACCCAACCGCTCGCTGACTCTGGTTCTGATCCAAACCTAACAATAGGCTTGATTAGCTGTGTTGTTCACAGAGGGTCATGTGACCCATCACCTGACTTACTGGTTTGGATGTTGTGGTTCTCAGGTGTCGTGTCATGTGTATGTAGTGAATGCAGGCGGGGGTTAAAAGTCCCCTTGTTTTTGTCTTTTCCCTCTTTGTGTTGGTGTCACTGGGGCCCTGATTCACACCTTTTGCTCACAGGGGGCGGAGTCATACTTACAATAACAGCATTTAGGAGGAGGACAACTGGACACGAAGGCCTCCACCTCTGTTTAATGGTTTAATTATTACAAAACAAAAACAGGAAGTAGAATTTAAAACAAGGAAACATTTCATCAGATATTTTACTAACAGATGTGGTAAACATATTACAACCTTTGACTTCTGAAGGCAGAATCAAACAGTTTAAATAGACTTTGAAACATTTGCAGTCAAATGTGTGCAGATGAGAGGAAAAGCAAACAGAAAGTATTTTCTTCATTTCCTGTGAAGGTCAGTTTCCTGCAGCAGAGCTCTGCCACCTGCTGCTTCTTTCATTTCCTGCTCTGCTACCTGAGCACCTCTGATCCTCCTGCAGGAGCCGCTCCCAGCTCCCCTCACCGGCTCACAACCACAACATTCTTCTGCCATTTAAAGTGTATCAGTCCGCTGCTGAAAGTAGTCCCCACCGTCAGCGTTCCGCTGGGTTTTCTTTGAAAATGAAACCGGGTCGACAGAACCGTTTCAGAAATAAAAGCAGCTCTGGTTTTAGAGCCGGATCAGTGGAAAACGAGGAAAACATTTCAGAAAATCAGTTTTCTTCACGTAAAAATATTTGTTTCAGCTAGTGAATAAACAGATGAGAAGGAATATATATAT